TTTTGAATAAGTAGTTACACTTTTTGAACTAATCAATGCTTTCAGTACATTTCAGAAGTATATTAACTGAGCACTTCAAGACTTTCTTAATGAATTTGTATCTGCTTATCTAGATAACATTCTCATCTTCATCAATGAATTCAGAAAGAAATATCAAGAGCATGTGTGAAGAGTATTATAACAATTACAAGAAGCAGAACTATCAATCAATATTAATAAGTGTGATTTCAAAGTTAAGAGTACTAAATATCTAGATTTCATTATAGAAGCTGATAAGGGAATTCAAATGAATTGTGAGAAGATCTCTGTCATTCTCAAATGAAAAGCTTCATACACTGTGAAAGATGTACAAAGCTTCATTGAATTTACTAACTTCTATCAGTGATTTATATGAAACTTCTCAGATATTACAAGATCACTTACAGAACTCATTAAGAAGAACTTAGTATTTCAGTGATCAGTGAACACTGAAGCTGTATTCATACAGATAAAGAAGATGTTTATTAATATCTCTCTACTGATAATATTTGATTCTGATCATGAGACAGTTGTTGAAGCTGATTTCTCTGACTATGTCACAGAAGAAGCTATATTATAATATGATAATAAAGATATTCTATAATTATGCATCTTCATGTGTAAGAAACTGAGTTCTGCTGAATGCAATTATGAAATCTATGATAAAGAACTTCTTGTGATTGTATACTATCTAGAAGAATGAGACTCTGAACTCTGAAGTATCTTTAAATTTGAGATAATCACAGATTATAAGAATTTTAAATACTTTATCATCACTCACAAGCTTACAGAATAACAGATGTGATAGTCTGAGTTCTTAAGCTACTTTCATTTTATAATATACTATCAATCTGACAGTCAGAACTTGATGACAGATGCTCTGTTGTAATAAGAGTAAGATATGCCTTTCAATGTAATAGACACCTGTTGAATGAACTGAGAGCACTGACTCTTAGATCTGAAGATACTGATTAATCAAGATAGAATAACTTATGACACTATATATACTTCTCTGATTAGAATACCTTCTCTCTGAACTGATACTAACACTGATATCTTCACTTCTTCTACACTGAATGAACTATGGTATACAGTAGCTCAGACTGATGAACTTCTTCAAACTCTCACTGAAGCAGTATATCAAGAAGCACTCTGATTTTCTTCAGAACTATGTATAAGAACTGATATCTCAGAATATTTAAGCAATGATAATAACACTCTATAATTTCATAAATGATGCTGAGTCTCTCACTCTGAACTCTTATACATCTGAATAATGCAAGAGATGTATGATTCATATATAATCAGTTACTCAGACTGTGAATAACTGTATTAAATAATCTCTTGAGAATTCTACTGATCTGAGATATTAAACAGCATCAGATGCTTTATCTGAAACTGCAACTACTATTCTTCTATTATCTTATAAAAGAACTGTAGAAAAGATCTACTGAAATCACTTAATATCTCTGATAGAATCTGATAAGATGTAGTAATTAACTTCACTATTGATCTATCTGAGAGCAAGAGTTGTAAGAATATTCTGATCATTATTAACTAATTAAGTAAAGATATAATATTAAAATCTTGTAATAAGATAAATACTGAACAAGTTGCTGAAGTCTTCTTACAGAGTTCATTCTATCAGATATATGAGTTACTGAGATCTATTATACTAAACTGAGACTGTTAATTCATGTGTACTCTCTGAATAAGAATCTGTCAAGTTCTTAAGATTATATATTATTTATTAACTGTCTATCACTCTGAGATTGATCATGTATCAGAATGAACAATTCAGACTATAAAGAACTATTTTCATAAGTTCTATAATTATTCACAGAATAATTAGTGTGATCTTCTTCTACATACAGAGATTGCTATTAATGATTGAGATGTCATTTTAATAGATGTAAGCCTGTTCTTTCTTACACACAGTTATTACATGAAGATGTTAAATCTTCTAGAGATTATACAGTTCACACTGAATCTCTGCAGTCTAATTCAGATTACTGATAATATAGTAATAAAGCTCTGAGACACTTATGACTGAGTAGAAGTCTTCATGACAAGTACTAAACAAGATCAAGAAGATTAAGTTAATATTCAATGAGATCTCACAGAGCAGTATAAGATAGAAGATCTTATATAATTAAATCTCAAGAATATATAGATCACATACTCATCTTATACATTGAATTATCATTATATGAAATACACAGTGATAGAGATTCTAGACAGTCATAACTATTATCTTGATACTTCATCAGGAATTCATGATGTGTTTCATACAAGCTTACTTTATTACACTGTCACTGACCTGTTCTCTTCTCAACTGACTTTCAACTGACAGTCATCAGAGATTGTAGAAGAAGATAATGAACTTGAATAAGAGATTAAGAATATTCTTGATAAGAGATCCCGCGGCCGCAGCTGATAATATCTTATAAAATCAGTCAGATATGATCACCTGACCTGAACTCTGAGTTCCGCATTATTCAAGACTGCAGCTCTTAACTGATAGAAGCTATGTATGATCAGGGAAGAGAGAAGCTAATGTGACAGGCTGCACTCAATCAATTATATAGACTATTTTGTTACACTTCACAGATTTCTATCACTTCAATTCTCAGATGAGAACTCTATCACTCTGATTCTCAGTTGCTGATTCTCAGCTGAAAATCTACAGAATTTCTATTCTTTCACTCTGAAGCTTCACTACATACATTACTACATATGTGTATAAATATTCACTCTGATCACTGATTTCTGCACTTTCTCTTTCCTTTTCTTCTTTAATGTTTTTCACTTTGTTATATAAGACCTATAAATATTATACTGATCTATTCAGTGTAGACCTCTTATATTCTAGTACTTTATAAACAGAGTGATGAGTTACAGAGTTTTCTTCTAAGAATTTCTTATATTTACAGAGTAAAGAGATATGAAAAATATCATATATCTGTAACTTAGATAATACTTTTAATCTATAGAACTGTAAGCTAATTTTCTTTATAATCTTATAAGACTCTGTCTGTAAGAGATTCAGCTTCTTACTAGATCTTTATATAATAATGTTTTCTAGACTTAGTCAGACTCTATTATCTTTCTTAAAAATCTTTATAATATACTTAAAGTCATAGTATCTCTTCTGATACTCTTGAGTCTTTCTCAAGAATTTATAGACTTTCTTCTGAATATTCTGAATTCTCTCAGCTTATTCACAGATATCATCACACTCTATAGTATATTCTCACGGATTTATCAAGATTATTCATAGATAAGTTTCAGTGAGTATCTCAAAGAGAGTTTTATCTGTACTGATATACTTTAAGTTATTATATATAAACTCTGTAAGTGATAATTAATACACTCAGTCATTCTAATTGTAATTAACAAAGCACTGTAGATACTGTTTTAATATACTTATTAGATATTCTATCTGATTATCTATCTATTAATGAAAAGCTGTGCTTAGATCTTATAAGATCTTTAGTATAAATATCAGATCAGATCAGAACTTCTCTGTAAAAATTAATTCTCTATCTGAGATAATATTTACAGATAATCTATGTAATCAGATCATATTATAAATAAAGATATAAGTTAAATTCTTTAACTTTAAGTTCTTGTGAGTGAGTATAAAGTGTGTTATCTTGATAAAGTGATCTACTATCATCAGCACACTGTCAAAGCAGGCATTATATATATTCTTACTTTCAGAGAGACTTATAAGAGTATTCATTTCTAGCTATTTTCAAGGTTTCTATAGAATGAGTAGAGAAGTAAGTTCTTTATATAGTCTGAATCACACTATCTGTGAACTCTGATAAATAGTATAAGAATTCACTATATTCTTTATAAGTTCTTGCATCTTCAGCTAGAAGTATTTTTTTATAAGTAACTGTTTGAGTTCTAATATCTGTAAAATAACTTACTAGAGAAGAGTTATAATATCTTTTAATGAGTTCTATATTGTAACATGGTGGAACTGAAACGGTGGCTAGTCAGTGATGTCATGTAGAAGTAGTTGTTTGAGAAGCTGTATGAGTAAGCTTGACTATCTTGCTTAAATAGCGAGCTTGTGAGCTACAGAGTTATTGCAAGGATATCACAGATATGATACTTAGTATACTAAGAAGATTGTATGAGAAATGCAGTAACTCTTGTATATATTTCAGTAGAAGAAAAATGAATCACTAACTTCTTTGATGAGAAGCCAGTATCTAGCTATTCTATATAGACAATGAGCAGATACTCTTCTCTCATTTCATAAGTAAGAATAGCTGAAGCAATACCTCAGCAGTGTCTCACTACTAAGAAAGAGTAATCTGCTGATCTTGTATAGAAGTGAGATTCTTATATTCATCAATCAGATCTTTCTATGATATATTCAAATGATATCATAGAGTGATTGAAAACCAGTTTGAACAGGATGAAATCATCTGCATGAAAGTAATGAGTTATATGAAACTGTAACAGAGTCTTGACATGACTGAGAGTGTGACAATGCTCTTCTCTTTAAGAACATAGTTCTGATACTCTTAAGATTACTGAATTAGAAGTTATCTTTGTTGTATAACAACAGTTATTAACTGATTGACAGTGTGTGTACTGTGCATGATATAAAGAAATAGATGAGTTTTTCTACTGACTGTATAAATCTTTCTTTCTCATCTCTATTCAAATTAAACATGTGATAAGTGAGTTTCTTATATATTGATTTAAAATGTGAAAAACATAGTTAATAAGTAACTTGCAGATGTCTTATTATATTCTATTCTATATATGAAATTCTCTGAAAAAGTAGTGTGTTTTAGAGATAAAACTAATAATAGTGATAGAATTTTTCAAAAACATCTCTTCTCTCTATAACACATTTTTCTTCCCTCTCTCTCAATTATAACAGTGAGTGTATGAGAGTATCATTCTTAAAAGATAATAAAGAACTTATTCTGACATTTTCTAGTGATTAAACATCTTTATGATACAGCTGCAGCCTTCATGACTGTTAAGAAAGCCAGATTGAAGATGAAGACAGCAGTGTCAATGAACTGCAGAAGCACTGCTCTCATTATCATATCTTCTTCTTCTACATCTCTTATAGCTGTGGCAGTAGTAGCTGCATCTTGCAGTGAGATGTCATTTCTTCTGCTGATCAGTTCATCTGCATTCAGTTCTTTCTCTGCCTCTCTTATCATCATTGTAACACCATTCTTTCTCTCAGTCAACACAGTGATGTATGACTCTGTGTGATCATTTGAAGAGAATCTCAGAAAGAGCTTGATTCTGAAGATAGCAGCTCTGAGAAGCTCAATTCATAGTTTCTCTTTCATAATATGTCTGAGCCCTGCTCAGAATACTGCTGAGTTGAGTTCACAGAATTTCATAGTTTCTTTATCTTCTCTCTGTGAGAAGGCTTCAGTGCAGCCTCTGATCAGCACTGTTACATGCCTGCACTATGCTAAGCAGCTGAAGGAGAAGAAGATCTTATGCATTTATCTCTTCTCTCACTCTTATTATTTTCATTATATCTGTAACAACAACTTCTGTCTCTCTGTAAGTATTATTTCATAGAAAGATATTATATCAACTTTAATAAGAAGCTCAGATGCTCAAGCAGTACAGAGTGAGAATCTCAGAGCTTCAAGTATTGACAGATTCTATCAAGACTGAGAAGGTCTCTCTTACTCATCTGCAGAAGAAGGTAAAAGCATGAATCTCTGAGATGAAAAAACACCTCAGAATGACTGATTTTAAGAAGAGATTAATCAGCATCACTGTTGAAAGCACTGTGAAGATTAGACTGACTGTGTGACTGTGTCTGAGATCAGAACCAGATTTTTTGATAGTCTTATTATCAATTTGACTGATCCCATTACATGGTTTTAACATTAGATAGTAGTCTCATACTGTCTCAGTGAGACTTACTGTCTACTCTTGTCATATTTTTCAAATGAGATCATGATTTTCACTTCTCAATTTAAATTATTTTTATTGCTTTAAATGACTTTAAATCTCATTTAAGTGTTATCAAAAAGTGTTACTTTTTAAAAAATTAAAAATAGTCTAAAAAAATCCTTAAAATGTCTAAAAATAGTAACTTTATACTAAGAATAGGACTAAATGAGACCAAATGGAATCACTTTCTCATTTTTTTCAAGTCATGGTTTCATTTTAAGATCTGATGTATAGTCACTTTACATGTTTTTTTAATGACTAGTCCCAGCGGGATTCACGTCAAGAAATGTATGGAACCAGATCAAATGAGATCAAATATGAAATTCATGGTCCCGGCAGCCAGTCTAGTGAAGATTAATCACTGATTAAAGAGAATCTCACTTCAGTTGAAATAGATGACTAAGATGCTTTGTAAGTTAATAAGTTAATACTTTCAGCATCTCTTATACTCTTCTACAGTATGCTTCTCTATAGCACTGCAGTACTAACTTCTCAGCAGATGAAGATATCAATATCAGAGACTTCAACAGTGAAGAATGAGTTTGATAAGAATGTAGTTATTAATAAGTAGACTCTGAAATTCTCTCTTTTTACTTTTTCAGTGAGCTGCAGCCTCATTAGAATAGCAGCAGTCTGTAGATTAATAATATTAATCTTTATTAGTTTCAAATATTTCTTTCTTTTCTTATTAACTGCTTCAGGAATTTTACACTTGTGTAGTCTTATTAAACTTCTAAAAATCCTTTAAGAGAAAATAGAAGAAGAGTGTTACAGAGTTCATAAGACATCAGCTCATCACCGTGATATCATCTCTAAAAAATTCTTTGAGAAAAATGAGAAGTCTTAAGCAGCATTTCTTACTCAATGTCTCTGATATGTAATGAAACAGTCTCTACTAGTCATCTCATAGCTTGCAATCTCTTTCTCAGAATTTTTCAAATACTTAAGCAGTTCTCACAAATTCTCTGACAATGAATAATCTTCTCATTTAATGAGATATTGAAGCTTACTGTAATATATTTACTTATTCAATATTTTCTTTAGGCTGTGAATCTGAAGTCTTTGATGCTGAACTATTTGCAATAGTGAAAGCTTTCAAACTCATTGAAATAAAATCTCATAAAAGAGAAAATAGTTTGAAAGAGGCATGAATATTCTCTGATAGTCAAGCTGCTTTGAAAAGACTTAGAAATAGTCAGATTTATAATAATCAAATGAATCTTGAACTGATCTTAAACTCTGTTTTGAAAATTCAAAAGAGAAGAATATCAAAGCTGATAATTCATCTGCACTGAGTTCCTGCTCATATGAATATTCATGGCAATGAATTGGCTGATTCAGCTGCAAAAAAGAGTGCAGAATTAAGCAGATCTATTCAAAAAATTGTGTCCTGGTCTTTTATAAAGACAAAAATAAAATAATCTTGTTTAGACAAGTGAAATGAAAGCTGGCAGAAACAAAAGAAGAGTATACATTATTCAAGATTTGAAACAAAACCCAAGTGGAAATCTTGTTCAATTAAATGTAAAAAGAAAATATTCTCATCCATAATACAGCTGAAACTAGGACATGGCTATTTCAAATCTTATATACAAAGATTTGATGATAGATTTGATTCAATAGAATGCTCATTCTGCAATGTAAATGAGAATCCTGAGTATATTGTAATGCACTGTGCATTATACAATAGTCTCAGAGTCAGATTGAAAGAGAAGTATGATCTAAATCAATTAAATATGAGATTCTTATTCTCAACTGAGACAGGAATTAAATACTTAATAGACTTTCTATCAGAAACTCAAGCAGCTACAAGAAAATGACTAAATTCAGAAATATCTGAATATGAAGAGAAGGAAATCAATCAGATATAGTCTGTTAAAACAGCTATATACTATCTTTTAATATTTTGTTTTGTTACAGTCTCTCTTTACTTTATCTTTTCCTTTCAATTCCTTTCTATCTATCTATTTAATGTGTCTATCTTTAAGACTGTGTTCTCTTTTCCTTTGTCATGATATTGTCAAATGATTTCAAAGTATCAGAAGATGTTAAGACACTGCAATTTGTAAACAGTTTTTGTATTCTGAGCTGGAATTTTCTGATTTTGCATATCTGAAATTGGTGAATGTATAATAGTTAACTTTACAGATATAGGAAAAACCCTGAGAACTAAAAGTTCTCAGGTAGATGTCATAGTCTCTGACTGCATACATCTATAATTGAAGAATAATAATAATAATAATAATTCAATATTTCCTTCATAAGATATTTAATATTATTCTTGATTTCAATGTCATTCAGCTGAGATAGCTCTGTCTTAGAACATTACTTATAGAGCTTCAAATAGAAAATGTGAAAAATAGAATGCATTGATTTCAATTCTGAGAGTAATTTTAACTTCTATATCTGCTTATTCATCACTCTTATTATCAGAAAAGATTCTAATCATCACTCACTGAGCTTCTTACACAGTCTCATTATCTTAATATTTTTTACTGAAAGTAGCACTTGATTCTCTATCAAGAACTTCATTGAAAGATGTTTTCAATTATAGTATTCTATCTATTACTTCTGAGTACAGTGAATGCTTTTCACTGTCTTCTTATGAATTTTATTCAAAAGTTTCAATCTCACTTTTACTTCTGACACTGAGAGATACTCTGTTCTCTGTATCTGTTTAATATTCTGACTATCTATCTCTCTCTTTGAAATGTCATCTGTGATGTGACTGAGTAATGAAGAACTATATTCATAATAAGTATAGAAAGAAGATACTTTTAAGATTGCATTCTTTACATTGTTATATATGAATTCAGCAGTCAGAAGATGTTTAAGCCAATTATTCTGATAATATGAACAGAATACTTGAAGATGCTGTTCTAATATCTGATTCTAATATTCAGTCTAGTCATCTATCTGTGAATGAAATGCAGTACTGAGAAGACATCTTATTATAAGATAATAGCAAAAAGCTGATCAGTATTTACTGATGAAGAGAAATTCTTAATCTGTTATTAACAATTTCAGAGCACTGTGATTATAAATAATGATATCTAAAAATAGATCAGTCAATTCAGAGGCTTTAATCTTTTTATAAGTAGAAATATATTTTATCATCTTCATAAAACAGTTGATAATAATCAAAATTGAGTCATATTCTTTGACTCTTGTTGACTTCAGCAGATCAACTATGAAATTCATTAATAAATTCTATCATAAGCTTTTTAAAACAGACAGTGATATTAACTCACTATATTGCTTATACTGCAGAATCTTTATTCTTTGATAGATATTGTAAGTATTAATATACTCTTTGACATCTGCTCAGAGCTTGTTTTAAATATATTTATATTTTAGAAGCTTCTCAGTCTTCTCTAACTCAAAGTGCTTCACATGAGAATTATTATAATAAATTCTCAATAACTTCTGACACATCATTCTGCTATAAGAGATGAAGACTGAATCATTCAGCAGTAGAAGTTCACATTCTTCTAGTTATCAGTGACTTGATTTCTTAGCAGTATCATCTCACTCAGAGTCTGTCTCTTTTAAGTTTGAACTAAATTCTTTCTTCTTCAACTTCTGACTTCAAGCTGCAGTAGAGATATTCCTCCTCTGTAACTTATTAATGAATTTCAAAAGTAGTTAAATTAAAAGATTGTAGACTATTTTATTCTTTATCAATTCAATGATAGTAAGATATAATATGAGAAGCTTATAATCTTCAGTGTCAGTTCTCTACAGAGATCTGAGTTTTCTTTCATCTTCTATACTGAGTTATATAGCTGTCTTATCAGTACTGTTTCTAAGCTTCAGAGAATCTTAATCCTCTGCAGCTAGCTTCTTCTGCAGTGATAACAGAGATTCTTTTATAGAATTTTTCTTCATATCAATGATATTATAATCAGATTATTTAGACAGTGTGTCAGCAGAGTTCAGCTGATCTGAATAGTATTAAATATAGAAATCATACTCTGAAAGCAGCTCTGCTTATCTGACTTGACATTCTGTCAAGCTCTTTGTTGTTAAGAAGTAATATAGATTTATATGATTAGTGAGAACTTGCACTGAGAAGTTACTATTCTGAAGATAATATTATCAGATCTTAAAGAATTCAATAATTACTAATATCTCTTAATCATGAATATTATATCTTCTCTGTATAAGTGATAACTTCTTGAAGAAGAAGATCACTGATCTTTATTCACAGTGTCTTATAGATTTTATAAAAAAGTCTTCTTTT